GTCCCAGCAATGAGGCTGCATTTCTGCTTCGGGGATGATTATAGTTTTTATTTTCAACTGCGAGCACTTGCTGTCAAATTTCATGTCATTTTTATTTAATATGATTCTCTATCAAATTGATTCTCTGTCTCCCAAGCCTTCCTGTCTTCCAGCTGGGCATTTTTTAAGCAGCGATTTGCAAAACATTAAAGCAGGCATATAAATAAATTACTGTCTGGAGAGTGAGTCATCATTATTTAATAGGAGATTGTACCATAAGTAGTGGCTGCATGTTGTTAGAGGAGGTCCATGATGCCCCCCGCTTTATCCCACTGTTTTCTGCTGCTTTCCCCCTTCCTGGAAGCTTGCCCTACTCAATCACATCCCCATGATGCTGGTAACTGAGGCTCTTGTTTTGCACCCTTGCTGTTACAAAGAGGACAGAGAAGCACACAGACACCTGGGGCACAAGTGCTACCCTGTGGTAACCTGGGTTCAGAAGAGATGCTTAATGCTTAGGCCCCCATAAACCAGGAGTTGCTCTAGAACTGAAGGGCATCCAGAGATGAAACACTAAATGCCCTAGAAGTTGTGGATGTTCCATCCATGGAGTTGTTCGTGGTTATATTGGATGAAGTTCAGGGCAGTGTCTGATTTAGTGCTTGGCCACCCTGCCCACAGCATGGGGATTGGAGCTGGATGATCTTTGAGATCCCTTCCAACCCAAGACATTCTATTATTCATTGTTTCTGTGGTTCTATACGTGTTAATGTAGCTCCAAATCATGGTGATACAGTTACAGTTTCTATGCCTTTGACACCTACATTCAAGGAATTTAGAGGAGATTATCAGGAAAATGTTCTTCACTGAGAGGGTGGTGGGCATGGAACAGGATTCTTAGGACAGTGGTCAAAGCCCCAAGCTGCTGGAATTCAAGAAAAATTTGTAAACATTCTCAGACACAGGGTTTGGATTTGGGGTGATCCTATGTGGAGCCAGGAGCTGGAGTAAGAGATCCTTATGGGTCCATTCCATTTTGAGATATTCTACGGTTCTATGAATTCATCCTCAGGAAGATCTGACTTTGATTTTAAAATGAACAATGGAAAAGGAAATTGAATTAATTTTATTTAGGAAACGAATCTCATTCTTTGTAATGAAAGCCAACTGACAGCAACGGTTATCTGTCAGTTGCTCCGAAAGTAATGCCTTCTATTTATTTCCATAGAAACTACATCAAATACAAAGAGCATAATAACACTGTTTGATTTGATAGAGCAAATTCTCAGCTACAAAACACTCTTTTTTGACATGGTAACAACCATTAGCAAAACATTTTCAACAGTGATGACAGAGCCTGCATGCCATGCTTGTAAATATTTGCTCCTGCATAGGTGACCCACTGTTTCACAGTATTTTACAACCCACTGTCTCACTGTGGTGACATACACTGTTTGATCTTTATAAACATTCAGCAAGTGCCAGGGGATCTCAATGGCCTTTTTTCTGCATGGAGGAATACAAAGACACACCTTTTCTTCATACACGCTTCTGTGTCAAATGCTATGCTGTCAGACTGCCCCTCTGCTGCCATCTGCAACAAAATGTAGTGGGATATTGGTGGGAAGGTTCAACCTGTACTGCCATCTCACCAACATCTGCAACTGACATCAGTGGCCAACAAAATAAAGCAGAAGGCATTACCTTCAGAGCAGCCCTTGTACATCATACCTATCACCAGCTGTGGAAATTCTTGGTTTTAGTAATGACTGTTTCTCCTACTTGGGAGTTGCAGAGTGATAGATAACTATTATAACTTTATTCTCTAAAAGGGCACAGAACAGTGACATAGATTCCCTCTCCTTTACCCTCCAGCTTCTCCCTTTTCTTGGATAAGAGGCAGGATTGAAAATATCTTTACTCTCAGAAAGAAAAAAATATCATGAAGTCCTGTTAAAGTAAGCAGAGAAGAATAATTAGCCGCCCTTTTAAAAATGATTTGAGCTAGATTGTTTTCTACTAGCAAAGATAATAATCTTAATAGGCTGTTTGTATTTGGATACAGTTTATCTGGAAATGGGAATCAGTAAAATGCCTCGACAACAGGACAACCAAAGCTACTAATGAGGTGTAATTATGACATAAAATCTATATAGTTAAAGGTTATAAATTGACAAGACCTTGACAACATGCAATGAGCAAATCTCATGGCATTGCTCACAAGTGTTGGTACTCAGTGCCTTTCCTGAGCTAAACGCACATTTGGATAATAGGTTTTCCTTTCCCAAGTTCTCCCTGCAACTTGATAGAACACTTGTAATTTTCTGGCAGTATTTAAATTAGAACTTCAAAAGACCAATTGAAACCTATTTGCCCTATAGCCCATGGTAATGACCATTACTGCAGAATGTGAGTATATATATTTTATGTACTGATAAGTGCCTGCATCTTTCTAATGCACTTGCACCCGGTGCTTAACTACTGTGAAGGCTGATGATATTTTGCAGGAAACTTTGAGGAGTATATGCACATCTCATTTAAAAACCCACCTGGTGTTGAAATTTATGTAATAAACTTCATAAGCAGGTGATAAATTGCATTTTTATGCCTTCCCCACCTGAACTGTATCCTTTAGTCTATTCCCCGCTCTGAGTTCCTTACAACTTAAAAATCCCTGAATAGCTTCAAGCAATCAATATTTTATTTTAAATATAAACATGTAAATCTTCTGGGGATTTTTCTCCTCTTTGTCTCAACATGGTATTTTTCTTCCCTGAGCTTAGGGTGCTCTCAGTCGGATGCGGAATGAACAATAGTGTTTCTACTCAAGTTGAAAATCTGATTTTCTATGATTCACTGAGTCCATAAGCAAGGAGGGAAATTTTGCCATTGCAAAATGAAGATTTTCAGCTCCATAACAGGTGCAGCATTTACATCTACATCCTAACCTACAACTGTGCTCCAATTATGTAAAGCATTGTTTTATAATATTTTGCATTAAAAGCTTTTCAAACATCTGCTCCTATTTCCACTATTTTTTCATGTATAGATAAACTAGCAGTAACCAAAGCACATTTCTACAAGTGTGAGCATTCCTGCCTCACTCTTTCCCATGTTATAAAGCTTTTCAAAACTCAAGAGGTACTGTCCATAGGAACATATAGCACACCTTTTGTTCTGGACATGGGGAGGGTCAGGTTGAGAAATAGACCTCACACAGAGGATGGTGGGCATGGAACAGGCTGCCCAGGGCAGAGGGCACAGCTATGAGCTGCAGGAGCTCAGACAGCATTTGAACAATGCTCTGACATAGAGTGTAGATCTGGGTGGTCTGTGAGGACCTCAGTGATCCTTGTGGGTCCATTCCAACTCAATCTATTCTATGAACATATTATTTGGAAGATTTTAGGGCTCTCTAGCTTTCAAACTCACCTACTGCTTCATCGGTGTCCCACAGGGTCTGTCTTGGGACTGGTGCTCTTTAACATCTTTATTAATGACATTGATTATAGAGTTGAGTGCACCCTCAGCAAGTTTGCTGACGACACCAAGCTGAGTGGTGTGGTTGACACGGTAGAAGGAAGGGATGCCATTCAGAGGGACCTCGAGAGGCTAGAAAGGTGGGCCTGGGTGAACCTAAAGCAAAGTGCACAGTTTTGCACTTGAGCTGGAGGAATCCCAGGTGTCCATACAGACTGGAAGGAGCGGTCCTTGAGAGCAGCCCTGCCAAGAAGGACCTGGGGGTTCTGATGGATGAAAAGCTTAACATGAGCCAGCAGCGTGCTCTTGCAGCTCAAACAGCAAATGGTATCCTGGGCTCCATTGGAAGAGGGGTGGCCAGCAGGGACAGAGACATGGTTGTCCCCTTCTACTCCGCTCTTGTGAGATCCCATCTGCAGTACTGTGTCCAGTTCCAGAGCCCCCAGTACAGGAAAGACAGAGAGCTGTTGGAGAGGGTACAGAGGAGAGCCACAAAGACGATCAGGGGTCTGGAGCACCTCCCCTTCAAAGACAGGCTGAGGGAGCTGGACTTGTTCAGCCCGGAGAAGAGGGCTGTGGGGTGACCTCATGGCAGTACCTAAAGGGAGCCTACAGACAGGAGGGGAGTCAACTCTTCGAAAGGGTAGATAACAGAAGGACAGTGGGAAATGGTTTTAAGTTGAGGGAGGGAAGATTTAGGTTGGATGCTGGGGAAGTTCTTGACAGAGAGAGTGGTGAGGTGCTGGAACAGCTGCCCAGAGAGGCTGTGGATGCCCCATCCATTCCTGGAGGTGTTCAAGGCCAGGTTGGATGGGCTCTGGGCAGCCTGATATTAAATGTGGAGATTGGTGGCCCTGCATGTGGCAGGGGGTTGGAAATTCATGATCCTTGAGGTCACTTCCAACCCTGGCCATTCTGTAATTTCCTACCCGCAGATAGGAAAATACCCCTGGTCAGAATCTCAGGTGGTGCAAATAGACCTATAATGAAGCCTGGCTGATTTCTGCTGGCTGATGATTTGAATAATGGTATTTCAGCACTGAAAAGTTTCCATTTATGAGTGGAAGATGAAAACAGAAAATCTACTGATGAATATATTGAATTTAGAATGGGAAAAAAAGTTAATGTTTTTTCACAAGTAATCTTGAACTATTAGGACCTGACCATGACCATTTTTATTTTAGAGTATTTTACATAGGCGTCATCGAGATGATTTCCTAATATGTGAACACTTTTCAGTACCATGCTGATCAGCATAACATTTGCTACATTTTTTCTTAGTGTCACAGAATCATTAAGGTTGGAAAAGACCTCCAAGCTCATCCAGTCAACCATCCACCTACCACCAATATTGCCCACTAAACAAGGTCCTTCAGCTGTATGGAAGTTGCTAAGTCATGGCCTGAACCAATGATTGAGCACCTGGTGAAGGGATACAACCAGCCCTGTGAGCACAGGTGTAAACAATTCATCTATGTGACCAGAAAGGGTGGAACCTTGTTCCAGCCCTCTCTAAGCCTCATTTAAGGGCTGGCTGCCACCATGGATGATTTTCTACCTGGAGATCCCTTCTACTGTAGTATTTTGTGTTCTGTGGTTCTTGTGACAGGTAAGTGAATCTTTATTTCTTTTGCTGGCTTGTGTTTATCATCCCTTTTTTGGATGTCTTAGGACTGGTTCTCTGCTATTGCCTTTCTCTGCACTTAGTACAGCATCAAAATATTTCTTGTATATGTTTTTTCTGCTTTTCTGGCAAAGCAAGTTCTGGAGAATCTGTTTTTATTTTATCTTTTGTAATCATACTAATTTGAGTATGAGGAGGCTGTGTTTCATTTATTAAGTCCCTATATCTTCAGGAAAGTATGAAAATATAGATGGGGAAAATAAAAAGCAATAGACAAGTATCTGCTATTTTGACAGAAAGACAGTTAGGATTATAAGGATATTGTTCTACCCTCAATTACCTAATTGCTCACCTGAGCTTTTACTGTATTGAAGAGAATCACAGTGTGGAGGAAAAAAAAAAAGCCACCATTTGGCCATAATATTTACCTTAGGGATTCTTGTGTTCTTTTAGTTATTCTGAGCCTATGTCCTAATTAGTGGAGATAACAAGGGAACTTGTGAATGTAAAACTTTGCTTTCTTTAGAGGAGAAGAAAATGTCTGATTGATTTATCTTAGTCAAAAAGCTGAGTTTGTTAAAAGATATTAGTCCAGTAGTGGAAATGTGGGGAGGTGGAGGGCAAGTAGGAGAATTTTTGTATATCCTTACTTTTCTTCTTGGATTATTAAGAGAGAAAAAAAAAAAAAAAAGGAAGAAAATTGATAGAGAGACAAAAACATCTTCACAGAGACAGCTAGAAAGAGAGAGGAAGAAAGAAAAGCTGAGGAAGTTGGGTACAGATGCAAAAACTCTGTAGAAGAGCCTCTGGGCCAGATGTTCACTGGAGAGCTTGTCCTCTCAAACCACCTCAAAATGGAAAAAAAAAAATTGTGCTCCCTGAGTCCTGGGGGGGGGAGAGAGAAAAACTATGCCTCCCTTTTCTTTTTTAATGGAAAAATGCCTTATTTTTTCCTTAAAATGACAAGACTGAATGGTAATGAGTGAACCAAACTTTCTGTTGTTCTTACATTGCAATTTTGGTTAAAATTTTGTTTGTCAAATCCTCCTCTTTGTATAAAGCCAGGCTTTTGGCTGGTACCATGACAGGAAAATGGGTAGACACTCACCTGAGTGTGTCACACTTTTAACCCAGTGGTTTTTTGACTGGTGCAGGAGGAAGAGAAAATCAGAGAATATAGTACCACAGGCAGTTGGTGGAAGTTGTAATATTTGCATTAGGATTACTTGCCCTTTGAAGTGATCCTGTGGCTTCATGAGACTGCTACAAAGCACAAAATTTTGTTGTATCAGATCTTATGTCAGCATTTTGGGGCAAGCTACAGTTTGTCCTACGTGCTTCTAGAAGAGAAGAATTAAGCTTGGACAAGGATTTAGCTGCAAAGGGAAGTAAATCCTAGAGGTTCATTCTATTCTGATAAAATTAAACATCAATCCTTGAAGAATCATAGAACCATTAAGCTTGAGAAAGGTTTCTGAGGTCCTCATCCCCACCATGCCCACTGACCATGTCCCCCAGTGCCACATCTCCATGGTTCTTGAACATCTCCAGGGACAGTGACTCCGCCACAGGCATCCAAAAACAGCGTAGATGTACCAAAGAACAACACTGACACTTTCTGGGGCTGTTTCATCCATTTGTCCCAAACAGGATATTGCCTATTGCTAACTTCCTCTACCCCCTGTACAGTCAAAATTATCATCCAACACAGAGATAAACTTCTCTTGAGTAGGGCTACAGATTTGTGCCTTTCTGTGAACAGTGACTTCCAGAGAAGACTGATGAGTTATAGGAGTGAGACCTATGTAATTCTGATGATTCAGATTCTGCGATTCTCAGTAATAAGAATGATAATAATAGTAAAAATAAGAGACTCCATTACAAACACTTCATATTTTGTTTCTGCTACTGCTCCTAACTTTCTTGCAAGTTAGTAACCATATTCACACAACTTTAGACATTATTACTATGCAGATGAATCATAAATCAATCTTATAAAATTGACTCTTTCTGTTCATGTTAACATCTTGGCCTCTCAGTTCTTCTGCTGTCAAGCCAAACTCAAAATAATTAAGGCAGGTTTCTTTGTCTTTCCTCCAGATCTCCCCCGCTACTTATTTATATCTCCATGGACACAATCGTTCCTCTGCCTTTTATCCAGATCCATTTTCATTCCTTTCTTGTACTTCCCTCTGACTCAGTTGTCTCCTTTTATTTTCAGAGCTAATCTCTCAATGCCAAAACATCAGTTTCCATCCACCCACCATTTCCATAAATTACCTTGCTCAATGGACTCCTAATCAGTGATGTTGAGATGGAGATGTGACAGCCATAGAAAGTGTAAATAACAAGGGTAGTTTTTGTAGAAGTTTAAATCTGGACTAAAAGTATTTAACTTTTTCCTCTTGAGATACAGTGAGGAGATGGATCAATCCAGACCAGCTCACTTTCAGCATGAACTGATATAACTCACAATGACATCTGTGGGAGCAAAAGAGCACAAGCCATTTTGAGCTCAGTCAGAAGAAAATAATGCATGTTTCTCTTTTGTTTCCATGCATTGATTCACACCACTTTTTTTTTTTTCTTCTTTCTTACTTGTCTGTATTTTAGAAAAATATGTGGAAGCAGTAATTATACCAGAAAAGTTTTTTTGCTTGCACTCATAGGTGGAAATTCTTAAGCCAGTAGATTCTATTAATTGTTGAAAACTGGGTTGTTTATATACAAACTGTAGTGCAAAAGTGAAAAATACACCAAACAATTTCTAACTTGCAAAAACTGTGATTAAACTCAGTTAGGATTCAATACACTCTGCAGAGGTTAATTAAATTTTTATAGATTTATTCTTCATTCAGTGCTTTAAAAGGTTGTTCTGTTTAGTTATCGTTGCCAAGTTGACGGTGGGGGAAATTGAAAGTCCTGATCTACATCAATCTTCTGCGTTGCCAGACATTGAAATAATTTGCAGGATATCAGTATAGCATGAAATGGGGAAAGAAGAGAGAACTACAGCTGAATGATGTTTAGGTGAGCAGTAGGTATCAGGAATTTTAGACAAGCACAACAGAGATATTGAGACTTTATCTCAATGGGATTAAGCTATTGAAGAATGAATGCTTTTCAGCATTGGATAGCCAAGGATGCTAGGTCAATTCCACGAAGATAATACAGTTAGAAAGAGTAGTAAAGAGCAGAGTTGAGTTCTGGAAAGACTATGATCTCTTAAGATAATTGCAGTAATATAGAGATCTCCAACATATCACCTAGAAAATACACAAGTGGGGATGGGTGTTTTCTCAAGGTAGTGTCAGATAGGCAGGTAGTAAAGCAGTCAACGTCCCAGGAGGAATACAATTGATGTATTATACGTAGCAGGTGGTTGTGATAAATAGAAAAGTATGCTGAGAGATTAAGGCAACAATATACAATATAAAGATTACTTTGAAAGCTTCAGTTTCTACTTTATCTATTCTGTAAGCCTGGCGTGCAGCAAAGCTGGAAACTTGTTTAAGTTCATCTCTCTTAAGAAAAGCACTATGGCATGTATTTAATTTCTGGTTTGCGGTGATAATGCTCTGCTAAATGTGGATTGACTGCTGAATGTGAGCCTGAGGATCTTGTTAAAATACTGGCTAAAGGAGATCCAGTCAACATTATTTATTAAAAAGCTTTAACTGCGTTCCTTACAAGAAGTTCCTTAGGAAGCTGATCTTTCACGGAGCAAGGTTCTGCCTGAGGGTGAAAACTGGTAGAAAGACTAAAAAAAAGGGTCAGACATGATAGTGACACTTCATTACAGAAGGACAATTGTCACGGGTATCTACAACAGGTATGAAATTATGTAGCTTGTAGGGATGCATGCTCTGTATGCTGTGTGGTCTGAAAAGTAAATGAACAGTTTAATTTCCAAAATTTATAATAAATTATAGTATATTTGTTCTTGTTTAAGCAGGTCTAGATAATGATCATCCCAAATATTCCAGGCAGGCTCTTTTTGTTGCAAACCTACATTTAATAGCTGAGCTTCTTGGGGAATAGCTCTTGCTTTCTTTCTTACTTGGAAAATATCTCGCATAGTCCCAGCAGTAGCTGAAACAAATACCCATAAATATTGTTAATAATCTAGAATAAGGCCTTAAAGTGGCAAAATATACTTTTTTTTTTTTTTTTTTTTTGCCAGGAAAATTGTTTTATCAGACAGAATTTAGATCAGGCAAGATTAAATAAGGCTTTGGAGATGCCCGGACTAAACTATCTGCACAACGTTTATGACAGATGAAATTCACTGCAGATAACTTCAAGGTGATACACATGAGAAAGGATGATTCACTTGCTCATGCACATAGCTGAGTTATAAATTATCTGTAATCAGTCAAGAAAAAGAACTTGCTATTACCGAGGGCAACTCCATGAGAACATCTGCTCAGTGATCAAGATGCAAAAAAAAAAAGTCAAAATATATTGAGAGGGTTATGATATAAGGCTGGAAGCATTATAATGCCATGGCTGTGCCCAATTGTTGTCACCCTACTTCATAAGTAATGTAGTAGAACTAGAAACCATTCAGGAAAAAAAAAATCATTAAAAAAAATTATGAAATCAGTGGCTAGGAGATTTTCTAGATAAGGGTAATGTTGAAGTAATACAGACATGATTTGAAAGTTCAGTTTTGCTCTTGTAGAGTATACACTATGGACTTGGCCACTGCCTAAAAGACAAACTGACAGAAATCAGAATTTTTATGCAGTTAATGTGTACAGTATATTCCTGCAATATGAAGTACTTAAAGATCTTTATCACTTTCAAAAAAAAACAGCACCCAAAACTGTCATTAATTTTGCGCCTTATAAGCAGGCAACCCAAAGAAGGAACATAACCAACCAAAGAGATGCCAGCCAAGTGGCAGGTAAGGTTATGTGTAGGGAAAAGGTAGATTAGGTAATGTTTCAAATTCATTGAGGCCTTTTTTGTTTTCCCACAGTGGATTCTCCAATTTGTCTAGCATATTCCAAAGACTTCTTATGTTATCTTCTGTGGTTTTATCACGTGTAGAGATGTATCACAGCTACCATATGTAAAAGTACATCAGTGGAAGAGCATACTAGCAAGAATTTTCACTACAATCTACTATATATTATTACTGTGCTGCATTATTATCAGCATGTTATTATTCCTAAACCCGAATGAATGATAACTGAATTGGCATCACCATACAAAATATTATTGTGAGAGAAAGCATCATGCCAAAATAAGATGAGAAAAGAAGTGAGGTAAAAATTAGACTGAGATTTTGCAAATGAGCATGAAGCTCATATCCTTCAGCATGCAAAAAGCATATGAAAGAAATTCAATGTAGGAAAAGAAGTACAAGCCAAATACAGCTTTGGGAATTATTTCTTGACAAAAACGTTTTAAAGATCTGAAGCACAAAAATCTATTTTATGCTTCTCTGTGCAGTTGATCATGCATTCCTTCAGGCAGCAAAAATCCTATTGACTAAACAAGATTTATGGGCAGAGAGCAACAATGGGATCAAAACCAAGGTACCAACCCTTTAAAATCCGAGCAAGCCATGAAACAGTTTTTCTCTCTTTGCAAAATTGTGTGCAATCTGAAGAATTGCTTGTCTGTGTAGTTATAAAGCAATATTAACTATGGTAAGTTAGAAAGAAGCAATGAAAACCTTGATGAGAGGAGACAAAGCTGTGATGTGTGTTGGTGATGTACAGCAACTGGATCACAAAGATTTACCTGCTTGTCTTCGGAGTACAAGATGTAATGTGCAGACTCTCATTTCCACTGAACTAATGGCACTTTGGAGTAGCTGATGGTATTTGTGTCCCTTGTTCCTATGCTTTTTCAGTTTGGCAAGAAATTCTGCCTGCATCCTAATGCTTTTTCTAAGAAAATTGATATCTTGTTTGTTGCAAGAAAAATGTTCTGATTAAACTTCATTTTATCAAATAAAAGACAATTTCTTAAAGATACATCAAACAGCCATCAGTAATACTATGCTTTCTTTAGACCTATCTCACCTTAAAAATGTGCAGACTAGAAAAACGCTGGTAGTCATCTCTTCTATCTGATATGTACTCTCTTCATCTCTGTATGCTAGCTACTCCCATTCATCTTAAATAGAGTTGTACTTTGATGCATTCAGTAGTTGAAATAGCCCACCTCTCTGCAGACAGTGACTGTTGTCACCAATATGATTTTTTTATATTTAAATATCTGATATTAAACTCAATGTTATCATAGAAGCTCTGAGCTGGCCAACAATCTCCTCCGTTTAACATTGTTCAGAAATATTGCAAGTAGTCAAGTTGTTGTGAGTAATGCAGATCTGCTTATCAGCTCAGCTGCAATTACTTGTCTTTTCCATACTGTTATTTTATTACAAAGGCAAGGCAAAACATAAACCTAAACTAACTTAAGTCTGAACACCTTTACTTTGCATATGCAGGAGAGAAAGCCTGAACATAGCTATACATTGTTGAAGGCTTTCAAGAGATGAATTAGCAAACCGTTGAGCAATCTAGGCTGATCTCAGAGCTTCCCTTGCTTAGAGCAGGAGATCTCCTGAGATCTCCTCCAACCATGGTGATTGTAAAGTCCGTGTCTTGTTGAGAAAATGGCCCATAACTGGAGGGAAAATGTTACCTCCTGTTATTCACTATCTTGAGTTAGCATTTTTATGATTTTATGATCTACATAACTGAAAACAGATCCAAATTGTCTGTCTCAAAACTTTACATTTACTGGAGCCATTAAAGAAACTGACTAATTAAAATAAAGTCACATGCATCAAAGTCAACGCAGTAGTTTCACAGGGGCTTAAGAAATAATTTCTATTCCAAAGAATCTAATCCGTCTCTTCAGGATGGTCAGATTGTGGAGGAGTTTTGCTAAATGTATTCAGTTCATTACATTTTTCTTTGCTTCACAGGAAGGTCTGAATTCTTTTTTCTTCCTATTCACAGAACCATGTCATGGAATCATGAAATGGTTTGGGTTGGAAGGGGCCTTGAAGATCACTTTGTTCCAACCCCCTTATGCTGGGGGCAGAGTTACCAACTACTTTTTTTCCTGTGAACTGTTACTTGCCTCTCTCTGAATTCTGCTACCAATTTATATCCATCTTGTGCACTGTCTTTCAGCTAAAGGTCAGCACACAAATTGAGCTGTCACCATGAGAGCATCCCACGCCCAAAGCCAGCAGCAGCTATTGACAGCAATGGTTACCTCATGAGTACATACAATGAGACATTAAAGAGGACTTAAATTATTGAAGAGCATAATTAAATAGGAAGGAAAGGTTTTGCTAGGTAAAGACACTTTCAAAGTTATAGATTGCCTTCATGAAAGATCGCTGGAAAACTGCTGTCATATTAGTAATAAATGAGCTAAATAACAGACAGACTATACTTGTACTCTGCTTCTTTCTCCTGTCTCCATCTCTTCAGGATGCTTTCTCCAGCATCCTGAAGATATTTCTCTGACCCCTGGCTTATTAACATGACAAAAAAGACACATGCCATTATTTACACATATAGCATCTTGTAACACTGGCTTAGTGGGATTCATTGGCCATTGCTTTTTGCCGTACAAGAGGAAGAGGAAGGAAAGATGAAGGGCATAAGAGTGCTAGTCAGTTTATAGCTTCAGATATCCTGATATTTTTTTTTTAAAATCATTTTTAAAAATCATTATGAATACTACTGTAAGTACTTACAGAAATGACAGATACTCAGAGCCTTATGTGTTACCCTATCTGGCTATGATTTGATAGATAGAGATAATAACTTCTATTCACTAATCTGTAAATAATAGCTAGCTTGTTAAACAGCAAACAAATCTGTTACAATCAGAGCAGGCTGCTTCCTTAAATTCCTAACCCTCTAATACAAAGGGATATATTTATCTTCCTGATCAAGTGATCAAGATAAATCTCACCTTTTTTTTTTTTTTTTTTTTTTTTTTAAACAACATTCATATCTTTGCCTAATTTCCTTCTGGACTATCTTATGCTGACAGTCAACAATTTGTAAGTGCCTCAGCTCTTACTCTCTGTATAAAATAGATTATAAAAGATTTCCATGCAATATTTACCCTATGAGACACTCAGAGTCAGCAGTAGTACTGCATATTCAAAAGTGACATGCTACGATGTCAGTCTTACTTCAGTCTGCAAGTCATGCTCTCATTCCCTTCTCACTTAACACAGCAATGGAACAGGTCCAGAGAGGTCTCCACATACCACATCCCTGTGATGGGGCTCCGAGCACCTGCTGGAGCTGTGGGTGTCCCTGTTCATTGCTGAGGAGTTGGCCTAGATGGTCTTTGAGGGTCCCTTCCAACTCAAATGATTATGTGATTCTGTAGTTCTACAGAGTCTCCTATAAAACTGGAGAATATTATATGGATTTTTGCTATATAATCTCCACTTACAGAGGTAAACTCAATGCTCTAGAGACAGACAAAGCACATTTGAGCTATCTCTCTTAGATCGTTCCTCTAAAATGTATAGAGATGAAGAATTCATCATCTTCCCTGGTCTGACACCTAATTACCATTTTTTTTTTTTTTTTGGAAGATTTTTATATATTTGGGCTTATGTTCCTTGAGGAAAACATAGCAGATTATGTGACCTACCTCTTTAGGATTATCACCATCCATGTATGGCATGTATCTACACTAGTAAGATCCCTTCCACTCTAAGCTATTCTATGCTTCTGTGTGGAATAATTCTCAGTTTACCGTTCATATCTTTCTGTTCTCCCTTTTTCACCATTTCATGGTGCAAAAAGGACCCAGTTTCTGCATGTCCCAAAATAGTTTTCACTGATCCTCTAAATCTAATCACGTGCAAGAATGAGACACGGCCACAACAGGATGCAATCCACTAGCATAGTGATTTTTTTGAACAGAGAGCTTTCCAAAATGTTTGTGAGAGCAGTCCCATTGAGGCTATCCTGGCATGCTTACAGTAATTGGGAACCTTTTGTTTTCTGCCCTCGTTGTGAAAATGTCAGCGCATTCACCTGCATGTTCTTGAACAAAACCTCAGCAACAAACTGGCCGGTCTTTCATTTGCATGAATATTTGAAATACTTTTCTCCTCTGTATTTGTCCTGCTCTTATACAGTGTTACAAGTCATTATGCTCATATCAAAGCGTGGCAAGGAAGCTGCTTTGGGAATATATGCATATAGTCATTGCCTTCATTTACTCTTTATTTCTTGTATATGCTTTTCTGGGGAGAAATCTGATTTGCCTTGTTCTGATATAAGGTGTTACTTTTATATCTATTTTCAGAGCAGTGCTGACATTTCTTGAGCCTGCTGTATCTGAATAAATGGAGAAAATCAGAGCATTTACCCTTCCGAAGGTAAAACACAATTAGGCAAAAGCAGCATAGCGTTATATTACAATCTGATAGAATGTCTCACCACTGACTCAGAGAGCCTATCACTGAGTTTAATATAATATTCATTGCTTTCAGCATAAGATGTGAAACAAATGGACACACTGAGAGCCAATAAAATGATAGAAACTAGATCAATTTCAACAACTTTAGTGGGGAAAATAGGCAGAATAATTATAATACTCCCATTAAACACTTCGTGCAGATGAAGGATAACGTAAAATAAAAACTAAGCATGCTCTTCCATAATAATTTGGGAGATATTCTACAAAAGCACCTAATTTCAATGGGCATGCCTTTTGTTTTGTTTTTATGAGACTTTTTTAAACCAACAATTTTTTGATGGTGTTATATCCACAAGGGGAAAGAAAAAGGAATAAAATACAAACCAAGTCTAAAAGCTTTTAGAATATGTAAACTTCTCTTGTATTAACATTATGGAATATTATTTTTTGGGGGGGAGGAATGGTCCATCTGTCCAAGATGTTCTATCTCCCTTTTTAAAAATGTTTTACTTTTGATCTTTTCAGAGCAGGTGGGTGCACCATGCTGGTCAGCCATGATAAGGGGCTGATGAACACTGGACATGCTCTGGGGAGCCTGAAAGGCAGTTTTTCAATTGCATTGGATTTTGCCCTGGTATTTTTTTGAGTGGGGAGAAGAGATTTCAGATGGAAAAAAAAAAAAAAATCAGCAATGATCCAGGAACGTCAAGCTGTTTCCCTCTGGAAACTGGGAACTGCTGATTGCTACAAATCTGTTTAAGGTTGGAAAATCTGCAGCTGGCAGAGACATCACTGAGGCTTATGGTAAAGTCCCTGAGGCTTTCTGTCTACTGATGAATTGATGAAAGGCTTCAGTGAGTGAGCATGTGCAGGTGTCTTTCTGCCCATTTCCTTGAACCGAAAAGTGCTTTATTCTGGAAGCTGATCCTCTGAAATCAGTCACAAAACATATGTTGTAATGGGAATGAGAGTAGCTAAATCTGGCCTGAAGAAAACTGACAGAAATGATGCATTTCACCTGAAGAAAGCTTGACACAATGTAAAGAAGGAAAACCACAAATAAATCAATTTAAACTCAAATTCATTTGCACAAGTACCCAAAAACCAATTTTTCACACTGTGAGTCATTGCTTCCCGTTCTCTAGCTCTCTGAACAGAGGTTAAGTGGGATGGAGGCTTTGATGGAGATGAGCAGCTTTCAGCTGCTGGTGGGTGACTTGCTGCTGATGTCGCCTGTAGGCTCCCATGGGGAGGTGATGTAAGGATAAATTGGAGAGCAAATGCAGGCAGATGTGACTGACCACAGGATGCTAATGCGAGCTACTGCTATTACAAGTGCTGGAGACAGTACACGTTTCTGAGTCTGTCATTACTAGCAACTCTGAGATTTTTTGCTGGGAAAAAGCACTTTGTTGAAATTACAGCACTTGCTCTGAGTGCAAAATGCTTTGAGTTTAAGTGAGTCAAAGGAGAAGATACTGCTTGTGCTAGACATGGGGATTTCAATCCTTCAGAGAGATGAGAAAAAACTAATGTTTAATGACTGTGTGCACATCCAGTAATTACTGAAGAATGAAGTCTGATATCAGTAGTAGGGAAGAGTGAGGGTATGTAAGGCTCCCTTTAAATGAAAGGAATTTGGGGAAGGGAAGTATGTGCATTCATGGCTGCTGTTTCATTTGAAAAGTTGTCTTGTAATGAAAATATGCTGCCTCTCTTTTAAATAAAATGGGAAATGGGCTAAGTTGCTAGAAATACTTCATAAAAACACTTATCTGAGATTAAAGCAGGGAGCTTGGACCCTGGATTCTTTTTCCTGTTTTATAACATCATCACTTATGTTTCCTTGACTGAATCATTAAATCTGAAGTAATCTAGAAAAGAATCTCTTCGTTCTGTATGCCGTGAGCCACATACAAGGCTGCCAGTCACCCAACGTACTCTATGCCAACAAATTTGGTTGAAATCAGTGAAGCCTGCAGATATTCACAACCCTGTAAAGGCAGTTGGTAACAAAAAATAGAGGCAGTTATAATTAGCGTGGATATTTGAAAATGGATTCCCACAGATGTAAAGCAGTATTGAATAGAAATGCAGAAGGAAAAGGACTGAATCAGAACTACACCAGTAGATGCTAAGTTTCACCTGATGAATGCAGTGTTACTCCAAAATGTCCTCTATATTGATTTTTTTTTTTTTTTTTCCCCATTAATCCAAATGTTTTGTCTGCTTGTGAGCATCTTTTAAATGCTAGTTAATTTTCTTTGCATCCCTTTGGTCTAAGGATCCTCTCCATCTTCAGAGTGCAGAGTGAAGGTTTTATGAGGTGAGATTCATGAAATCATGGACTCACTGAAGTTGGGAAAAGCTTCTAAGATCATCAAGTCCATCCATGAACTCATCCCCACCATGCCCACTGACCAGGTCCCTCAGTGCCACATCTCCACAGTTCTTCAGCATTTCTGGGGACAGCGATTCCACCATTCTTTCAGAGAATAAATTTTTCTAGCCATCAAATCTCAGTCTCCCATGGTGTAACTTTAGGCTGTTATGCCTTATTGTTGTTACTTGGGAGAAGAGTCTGACCCACACCTCACTCCTTTCAAGGAGTTGCAGGAAGCTATAATGTCTCTCCTGATCACCTTCTTCTCCAGACTGAACCATCCCATTTCCCTCAGCAGCTCCTCGTAAGGCTTCTGCTCTGGACACTCTTCAGGGCCTCAGTATCTCACTTGTTTTGAGGGGACAAAAGCTCCTTGCTGCTGGTTTATTTGTACTTCTTTGTGTTTGTTTTGTTTTGTTTTTCCCTCCCCCCCTTATTCTGTGATTCAGGAAGAAATGCTCTGCTCTTGTGCTGCCAAGAGAAAAACTCTCCACACTTTCTGGTGTGAAGATGGGGAGCGCAGTTTATTTGGGTGCATGCAGGGTGCCCTGCGGGTGGCTGGGGAGCTGCAGGCAGAAACTGTGTAACTCACAGGATGTCTTTGCAGCCTAAAAACTCTGTAAATCTTTTGCAGTGTCAGACTGGCCCTCTCATTTCAAGAGGAAATTAGAAACAACAAACCCAGTGAAATGGGATATAACAGCAGCAATACACACAGATGCACAAACAATTGGGAACTTTTTCACTGCTGTTTGTTGCAAGAAAGATAAATCCTGTAACAGAATGGAGTTTCATTCTTTCTTTGACTTCCTCTGGCATTTAGATCTATTTATTCCCTTAGGACCCCTGGGGTGTCTTTTGAAGACATTAGAGTAGAATTTATTTTCCCTTCCTTTTCATTTCTCAAGAAACAGTAGCAGAAGTACTTGGGGATGTCATAAAATCTCTGTGTTTTCAGCCTTTTTAAAATGCAATTTCAAACTATTGTATTAATAATAATAAATGCAGGAAGCAAGTTAGAAATGGCAAATAGAGAGAGGGACTCAACCCAAGGTTATCCAAGTTCAGGAAAAACAACAGTGAAAGAATAGGAAAATGCCATGGGAATTTGCTTCCTTGCAAACAGAGCAAAGTGACATCCACCCCTCAGGTTGATTGGGTCCATGCAAGAAAAGTTTGCACCATTCAAAAGGAGCTTCTGACTTCTTTCAAAGAAACATGTGAGATATGCTGAAAAGAGGTGAGGCTATTTCAGAGTAGGATTTAGAAAATCCAGAATTAAAGCTAAATCTCCCCCCAAAGCCTGTACTTTCGCGTTGCTAGGAGTAATGTACATTGAATATTCAGGAGACTGGAAAAGGAAGGAGCATGCCAAATTGTGTAATTTTGTTGGATGTTCTAGCTCTAACTGCTGACCTGGATCAAATCTGCCACCAACTTGCTCGTACAAAAGTCAGTGGCTGGTGTTCATACAGCCTGGGACATGCTGCTATGTTCACTGCATGTATTTTCCAATGGAAAATTCAGTAGAACAGTAGTAAGGAGTATATTTTACAGAATATATATACATCAAGCTATGTATTAGAGCTAAAAATATCTATTTTTATATGCCTCCATACAGTTTTGTGGCTTTTAGCATTTTGAGCACGTATCTGTGTTTTTTTTTTGTAGGGCATTTGGCAGAGGAATTTGTCTTGTGAGGTGGGAGAGTGACAGAAGGGATGTGAAATTTTGCAGGGCTTATGCATCTTGTGCCAGGTACCCGTGCCAGGGGACTGGACTCCAAGCACAAACCATATCTTCCAGGATTGCCATCTGAAGAGCTCTTTGCTTTAATTCCAACCTGCTGTGGCTCCACACCCAAAAACTGTTATGCACCTTTTATAAAGGATGACCTGACACATTTGTGTGGTGCATCAGGACTGCGTTGCAATAAGCCATCTTGAACTTATGACTTGTCCTGAGAGTTCAGTTAAGCGTGGCAGATTGCCTGACCTTCCAGTTAGCTTACCTTGTTTGTTTTACAGGCAGCATCTTTTTGCTCCTTTGCTCTTTTTTTCTTCACTTACACTTTATTTTCATTTACAGGAACAGCTGTTTCTGTAGACTGCAGTCACCATTCAGGTTGACTGGTCTACACCTCTCTGTTCTCTGGTGTGAGATGATCATGCTGTGAAATGCTGGAAGGCTGTGTGTGATGGTTTTATTTTTCATCCTCCCACTACAAGACTACTTCTCCAGTCACCTCAGCTGTAACAGCAACAGTGCTGTAACATCTTTGCACTGAAGTCAAACTCACCTGTCATATTTGCAGAGTCGTAACAACTCCACAGAATCATTATAGCAGATAAAAGGACAAATGAATTCATGACAGCCAATTAAAGCACAATTAATTATTAATCATATAGTCATAGAATGGCCTGTGTTGAAAAGGACCATAATGATCATCTAGTTTCAACCCCCCTGCCATGGGCAGGGTTGCCAAAGACCAGACCAGGCTGCTCAGAGCCACATCCAGCCTGGCCTTGAATCCCTCCAGGGATGCAGCTTCCACAAATGAAGTGGTGATGTGAATTCTTAACATGAATTGTTGTTACTATAGAAAGAATGCTAGCATTTGACAGTGGAATCTATGGCTAAATATCAAATAGTGCATGAACAGAGTGGTGTCTCTCCTTCAAAGTTAATGAAATATTGCAGGGGAGCTTGGTCCTTTTTGCTCAGCTAGCAAATAAAATGCAGAGATTTTCATAAGCTACATAAGATGTGAAAAATCAGCTTTGTGGCTGGCTCTTTCTCCAACAATTTCTTTGCTGCATGTCTGTTGGATTACGTTTTTGCATACATTCAAAAACTGCCATAAATCATAGAATCCCCTGAGTTGAATGGGATCTCAAGGATCATCGAGTCCAACTCCTGGCTCTACAGCAGACTGCCCAAAATTCAAATCCTACGTCTGAGAGCATTGAAAGTAAAAGGGCATCCTAGCACAGAACTAATGATAGCAAGTTAGGGCGCAGTAAATCTGTAAAGCAGAGTCTAAAATTCACACTGAGAAATGGCAGTTGAGGTGGATATGCAGGCTTACTCGTGGTCATTAATCTTAAAGGAGAACTGGATGCAAGATGCAGTGATTCAGTAAATTTGAGAAATGAAACAAATAATGAAATATGGGGAAAAAAAAAAATAAATAATGTGTAATATATTTTCACTCCTCTTCTTCAAGTGTTTAACTTAGGAAGACACACCTGCTTGCAAGCCAGGAGGTTCCATGTGAGTTTTTGGCTATTGCAAGAGTATGGAGGGAGAAAAATCACAGATTATAAAGCACAGTGTTCAGGAACCAGAAGAGAAGGGCTTTTAGATTTGTGGATGTCGCTGAGCTCTGAATGAGTACGGAAGGCATGAATAAGAAGAGAATTGGGCAACCTCCTCCTGCTGAACTTTTCCTATGTTAAGCAAATATCTAACAGTGAGGTTTTTTTCCTGTTTACTCTTTCTCTAGAGCTTCACATTTCAGAGGCTTTCCATTTCGGTTGTTACTACTCTTTGTTTTTCTGCCCCCTGTTTATTTTTGAACAGCTTCCTCATTAAAACTTTTAAATAATTATTTCTCTGCATGTAACCGACATGAAAGCATAGTCTCCCACCTCAACCCATGTGGTTAGGGGGCCCTTGCTTAAAATGCTTTCTCTCTCCCTGCCGCCTTACTGTACAAAAACAATCCAAACAAACAAAGGAGGCTTTCTTGGAAAGCTGGCAACTATTTTCAGAGCTCCCACTGTCTTTTCTTTAAGTTTTTCAGCTTGTTTGTTTAAATGTTCATGTCTTAAGGCCTTCCTTCCTGATTTTATTGATGGAAACCACGAGAGCTGCTATTTTTTTCCAGAATGCAGATTTATTATTTCTTCTCTACCCCATCTATGACTTTCCTCCAAATTAAAGTTAAATAAATATAGATATATATATATATATAATCATTTCCAGTATGTACTCTAAGTCCTGTGACTTAGAGCTGTGGAACAACACATCTGTTTTTTTTTCAATTGATAAGCAAGAGTGGAAGGCTCTAAGAAATTGTGATGCAGACCACCAGTGGCTGATGATGGGAGTGATTCTGCAGTAATAAAATGTTAAAAATAAAGGGTAAAAACTATACCAAATAGTGTAATAATGGGCACATCTCATGAAGGTACAGGGGTTGTAAGTTGTTATTGTGCCTTGCTGAGTAGTTTCCAAAGGAAGACGTGCTGCTATGCTGGCAAAAGTCCAAAATGATACTCAATATGGGGCAGCAGAGAAGAGAACGCACAAAAAAAGGGTTAGATGGGGAGCTGGGCAACCTGGTCTAGTGCTTGATTTAGTGGTTGGCAATCATGCCTATGGCAGGGGATTGAAACTAGGTGATCTTTGAGGCTGCTTCCAACCCAAGCCATTCTATAATTTTATATGATTTAAGCAAACCAGGAGTTTGACTTCAGCCATCCTGCAGCTCAGCATAGGGCTCTAGGCACAAGACC